GTGATATATTAATTCAAACAGGTTTGCAAAAAGTCAGTCAACTCAAGGACCGTTCAGCCCAGCGCATGAACGCCATTTTTTAAGTGTACTTGACTTTTGCCACAACACTAAAGCCGTAGTATACTAGAACTGAGAGCGGAGGTAGAGTGTGTGCGTGTATGCAGTACAGACTCTGAAGAGCAGCTCCCCGTCAACATGTCCATGTTCTTGTCAGATGGGTAACATGCCCACAGCTAACACGGCCTTGGCCTTTCCTGACCTGACAGTAAGGCTGTTCTTGTGGTCAGTAAAATTTTATAGTCGGGGACACAATAGCGGATTGATCCCTGATGTCTAAACTGGTAACGCTTGTGAGTCAGGTCCTGTTATTTTCCCTTTAACCTTCGTGCGCTCGGAAAATGCTTTCGGAAAGATGCCTTGATACCGTAAAATCGCGACAACCGAGCACTGCTATGCTCTGCTGGGGCTTTTGAGCATCCAAGTACGAGAATCAATAGTAATTAGTCAAGATGTAGGTCCTCAGTAAACGGCCCATCTGTTAGGATTCTTGAACTTGCCTAGCGGCGCCCCAATGACTGTACTAATATTAGTACTCTACAGTTGACTGCCAAATTTAGACTCCGCAAAGATAGCTGCCCTCGCAAAACTTAGAAGCCCAGCACAAATTCAACTAAAATGACAATGAGAATTATTAAGCTCAACTGGCGACAATGGGTGTCATTCCTTATCAAGCTTGTGATAGGTTCCTTAGGCTAATTAATTCGTCGAAAATTAAGTTGCGGACACATTGATAGCAACTCGATTAAGTACGAGCGTTGGCGTAAACGCTTTGAGCGCCTTCAGAACATTGATGCCCCTCATTAGATGTGAAATTCGGCCCTCCGCTATTCGATTGCACTTTATGGTATAGGATACGGTACTCTTGCTGAGGTCTATGGGTGTCTTGTTGAAAATAGGGCTATCTGGCCCCCTGGGCACGTGAACAAGCACGGGGAAATGATCCTGTTCCCGATGACTGTGACAGTTATTTCCGTTGGTGCCTTCGAAGTGGGAGATCAGACAGACTACCAGGATTGACTTCTGATGAAGGCTCTTGTAACTGTCATTTTCAGAATTCGACGTTAATACCTTTAACTTTTGAGAGTCATCCAGAGGGATACGACACATCCTCAAATACCATCGCAACTACTGGCTGCTGACTACTTCGGCTTTGCGTGTCTATTATTTCTTGCCGAGGCTACTGCTCTAAGTATTTATTGTGACTACTTGGCCCTGTTATCAGCCTGCCAGTACTGAAATTCGAATCCTCGACATATCCTACCAGTCATTCGGTATTGGACTGGCGTTGGGCAATTTCGTCTTCTGTCTACCAATATGTTTAGTTAAGTCGTTAAGTGGATTATCGAGAACGGTCTACTGGATTTTGTGGAATTCACACTTGGATGCTGGCTGGTTTGCCGATGCATGGAGTGCAGCATACCATGGAACAAGGGAGTACGCCCCCACCATTAAGCATTAATCAGTACAGATATGATGTAGATTGTCGGTCTGGATAAGGTGCACTCCAGGGCACCATTTTGATCAATTAGTTCAGGCCAGAACACAGCTCTACAAACCCGAATCACGATATATTTCGTGGATGAGGCTTCGTTAAGTTTAGGAGTCTCATGTTGGCGTTAGTAAGCTGCTGTCTGCCATTAGAAATAAATGAAGACGACAGTAGGCACAACTTCATAAATTCTTCTGTGCTGCTTTTCGCTAAGTTTTGTCCGCAAGCAGGCGATCACTCGTGCAATGTTTAAGACGCATTGAAGCAAGAGTTTCGCGCAGGAAGTCACAAGCACACATCCCGTTTTGTCTGCTCTCCCGGTTTACCGGTCCTTTGGCGTCTTGTTAGTGTTACCGTACTGATATTGGGATTCTGAGGAAAAAAGTCACCAGCAGGACCTGACGCTGACTCAGCTTTTCCACAAAAAGCCATCATCAGAGTTTAAATTCGACTTAGAAGTTTTTTGGGCCCGCATGATGTGACTGTGCTGACGGGCAATTCGGTTCATCGTTGGGTTCTAGTTGTCATATGTGAGCTTTCTGATAACCAACTGAACCTATAACTAGACGGTTATTTATGGCAGATAGGCGTACATCGATCGGGTAGAGGGCACACTTGTCCGTCCATGGTGCCTTTGGAGCTCACACCCGAGCCTACGCCACAAGGCGGCTAGTGATAAAGACAGAAGGACATTACCGACAAATACAAGGGAGACTAGGATGGCCATTTCCGGCTTATTAGCCGTCGTCCACCAGTCATACCTAGACCCAAAT